TTCCTGAGACGGAGTTTCGCTCTTGTTGCCCAAACTGGAATGCAATGGTGCGATCTCAGTTCACTGCAACCTCCACTTCGCGGGTTCAAGCGATTCTCCTGCCTCAACCTCCTGGGTAGCTGGGATTACAGGTGCATGCCACCACGCCCGGCTCACTTTTTTTTTTTTTTTTTGAGATGGAGTCTCGCTGTGTCGCCCAGGCTGGAGTGCAATGGCACGATCTTGGCTCACTGCAAGCTCTGCCTCCCGGGTTTAAGGCATTCTCCTGCCTCAGCCTCCCAAGTAGATGAGACTACAGGTGCCCACCACCACACCCGGCTAATTATTGTATTTTTAGTAGAGATGGGGGTTTCACCGTGTTAACAAGGATGGTCTTGATCTCCTGACCTCGTGATCCGCCCACGTTGGCCTCCCAAAGTGCTGGGATTACAGGCATGAGCCACCGCGCCCGGCCTACCAGCTTCTAAATAACTGCCCCTTCTCTCACCTTGAATCCTCCTGCTCCAACTCTGAATTCTAAGACCTGTAGTAAAGTGAGGAAGAAGAAAGGATAAAAAGTAAGGAAGGGGTTTGGGAACTTAAATTTTTTTACCTTTGAAATAACAGATGAAAGGAAACCAAAGAAACCCAGTTCGACTTTAGAAAATTGCTGTCCTTCTACCTTCAATCTCCTTAATCCCCCAGAAGAAAAGATTACTTCTTCCATCTAGTTTCCAAAGTTATGTCTGCAAATATATAGTCTATAAAATTAGTCTTAACCTCATCTGCTCTCATGCAGATTAGCTACACAGACTGTTTCCACATCTCACTGAGCGCACAGCTCATCTGGCTACAGCTGATACATTCTGAGTCCTCCCATATCCACTTCAGATCCCCAAGAAAACCAATCAAAAACAGAGAATGTCAGAGTCAGCAACCTCTTTGGTCTTCAGGTCCTCTGCTGGGCTCAGCAGTGCCCAAGGGAGATATCTAATGTGGTCTAAAGGATAGGTAAAGAAGACTAAAAAGGAAAAGGATTGGGGACAATAGAGAAAAAATAATAAGAGGAGTGATAGATAAGATAAAGAAGAAAGAAATGTTACTATTCATTTATTTATTTGAGACAGGGTCTCAGCTTTGTTGCCCAGGCTGGAGTGCAGTGGCACGGCAACCTCGAACTCCTGGGATCAAACAATCCTCCTGCCTAGGCCTCAAGAGTAGCTGGCACTACAGGCTCATGCCACCATACCCAGCTAATTTTTGAAATCTTTGTATTTTTTGTAGAGACAGGGGTCTCACTATGTTGCCCAGGTTGGTCTCCAACTCCCTGTCTGAAGTGATTCCCCTGCCTCGGCCTCCTAAAGTACTGGGAATGAAACATTACTATTTAGATGGAGAAGGGCCAACAGTGATTACTTCACAGAGTGGCTCAGTGATCCCTAGGCTGTAACTATCTATCTTAGGTATTTTTCAGTTCTACAAGAGCTTTGTACCAGATTCTAATGCATAGCTCCTTGTAAGCTGGGGGACCCTGGTCATAGTGCTGGGTCTGTTCCTTATCTTGAATTTGTTCCCTTTGAAGATGCTTTTGAGTTTTTATCCTGTTCCAAGCCTGTGCCTCATTGAGAACCTGCTTATGGAATTGCTTCCTGATGTGATATGAGAAACTGCTTATTTTGTTGTATGTATTAGGGCAGAGAATCTAGGAGTGTGAGCTGGAAGGGGAGACCATTGGAAGTGTATTTGTGTGAGTGTGTGTATAACAGGACCCTCCTAAGTTGAAGAGTTAGCTAATTGGTAAGAACAAGGCTTCTGGCAAACCGTGGAAACTCTTCATTTTTAGGCCACTGAAGTAATATGCCCAAGTTAGCATCTTATGTCCATCTCCTCTGCCTCCAAGGTGGTATGATGCTTGGTTTCTGGGGCCTTGCAAAACATACAGTGAGCCTGGTTCTTGGCACCGACAGGATGCATCATCTCTCCTTCCACATCCCTTAATGAAGTGTGCAGCTCTTGTCCTCATTAGGCCCCAGCATTGTCAATAAAAGAGTCAATAAACCCGGTTGATGGGGTTGGGACCGAGAGGCTGAGAGGCAGTGGCTGCACATCCACAGGGCAGACGTCAGCTCCGCCACATGTCATGACCCAGCATTCAGGGATCAATAACAAGCTCGGAATAAAGCCTCAGAGCCTGCCCTCTGCAGTTTCCTCTCCAGACCCATTTCAGCCAGGGCAGAGCAATGCCAGCCAGCTCCTGCTTTGCTTGCAGTTGTTCCCACTCCATGCCATTCTGGGTGCCAGATGCTTTTGTTTCTTCCTGATTGGGCCCTCTGGACATCCCATAGATGCCTATTTAGTGAGTGCCCACCTGGCATGAGAACATGTAGACAGCATTCCCAAGCAGCTCAGAGGCCAATACAGGCTCTATTTTCTGTGTCTTCTGTCTGCTGACAGTGCGTGAAGGGTCCCGGTGGACAAGGCGGTGTATTTTCTGCATGTTGTGCTGCTGGACTCCATTCCTGGCTGTTCTGCATCTCTTTAGATCCCCTTATCTTATCTAATTACAAGGAATTCCAGATTAATTTCATGGCCTCTGCTCCAAAGGACCTCTTATCTGTGAGGGCCTTGTATTTTAACCTTGTCATTCTTTTGTTGTTTGTCTTTAAGGGGCGGGTAGCTAAGAAGAGGGTGCTAAGATCTTGCTGGAATTGGGTCTGGGGGGAGGGGAAGAAAAGGGAGGCAGACAGACCTGAGATTTGTGTATTCTGTTCCATCCTCCTGCCTGTGTGCAGAGACAGCTGGCTGCTTTCTTCCATGACAGCCACATAGTACCCAGCCACACAGAACAGGACCCAGGCAGGGACTCGGCTACTGCCAGCCTCTCTAGATCTCTTTGATATTTCTGACAGAGCAGTAAAGGATTCGTGACTATCACGTTTTGCCTTGCCTCTCTTCACCTCCTCAAAGACTCTTAGGTGTGGTTTCCATGGCTACCCCCAATCAGATTTGGCTTTCTGCGAAATTGGATTTCAAAGAAGGACAAGGCTTCAAAGGAATTTGTCCATTTAACAGAATGTCATTAGGAGTGAGGCTGACTGCTGAAACAGGGTCCTCAGATGATTAAGGAAGGGCTGCGTTCATGTGTGGAGGCAGATTTCTGTCTGCAATGAGGAACTTTGATGCAACATGACAATACTGTATTGGAATCTGCCAGTCACCCGCTACATACTACCCGACTCTGCACCTCCCTCTACCCCTGTCTCTCCAAAACCCAGAGATTCTTGTAAGGAAGGATGCATGTAGAATACGTACACTGTGAGTTTTTGCTGTTTTCCTTGGTGTAAGTAAGCTATGACAGGCAGTGAAGCCTGCAAAGAAGTGCAGTTACCTGGATTTTTTGCTCTTTATCAAACAATTCATTAGCTGGTAGCCTATATTAGTATGTGACACCATATCCTTGAACAAGAGGGGGAGGTTATCAAATTTTCTTCTGTTACCAAGAGAGAAAGCAAGGCAAAGTTTAGGTTGACATACAGGGGGACTTTGTTTCCCTTGCTATATATATATATTTTTTTTTGTAACACTTTAGATTTACCAAAAAATAACTGAGATGATAGCACAGACAGTTCCCATGTATCTTTCCTTGCTTTTTAGTATGCACCATAAGTACTTCAAAATGGTCCTAGAGCAGCTACAATTTTATAGGTGAAGTGGTGAAGTTGGTAAAAATGCCATGGGGGTACCTGGTACTTGATCCCAAGCCTGAAAGAGGTAGTCTGCCCACTGCTATACTTTCTTTTTTTTTTTTTTGAAACAGAGTCTTGCCCTGTCACCCAGGCTAGAGAGAAATGGCCTGATCTCGGCTCACTGCAACCTCTGCCCCCCGAGTTCAAGTGATTCTCCTGCCTCAGCCTCCCAAAGTGCTGTGATTACAGGTGTGAGCCACAATGCCTGGCCTCTTCCCTCCTTTTCTTGTATTCAACTCCCTTCTTTTATCAACCGTAGCACTTTATACCTTTTTCATGGCAGTGGACCTATTGTACTTTAAAAAACCTCTTTATTTTGAGAGAATTGTAGATTCACAGAGAGTTTAAGAAATAATAATAATAAGACGAAATAATAATAGAGGAACTCCGTCTACCTTTACCCAGTTTCCCCCAAGGGTAACATCTGGTAATATTACAGTACCATGTTACAACCAGGAGACTGACACCAAGTGTCCCTTGAATGAGACTCTGTGATTTTGTCCTTCACTTTCCTCCCTTCCGCAGCTCGTGGAGGGAAAGGGCTCTGTTCTCCTCTCCCTCAGCTTTCTCCCTGAGTTACCCCTTACTTTCCTCAGGGCCTTTCCAGCCTGAGGGAGAACAGCACAGTTCGGTTTCCTGTGTCCCTTGCTGCCACGCTGCTGCGATTCTCCCAAATGTTGGTGTCCTTATATTGCTTATTGGGAATTAATCATTTCCTTTCAACGTTGTGGCTTCCCTAAGAGCGAAGTTTTGTCCTCTTTTCTGGGGATGGAGATGTGAACTGGACAGGCAATTGAGGGGTGCTATGCTTGACGGGAATTGGATTCTGCCTCTCGGCACCCTACTTCAGGCACCCCGTGGTCTTTCAAATCTGCCACCGTGAGTTCATCTGTTCGGTGCTTAGGATGGAGTCTTCAAAGCCGTGGGTCCTTTGAGCCTTTTGAAGTCTTCTGTTTTGGTGGGTGCTGGAGGGGCGCACCTTTGGCCTCGCATGGTGCGGTGCTTCCGGCACCCCCAATCCTTCTACCGCGGGGCCCGGGCGTGAGCGCCACGTGCGCCGACACCCCGCGCCCCTTCCCGGGTCCCCGCCCGTCGCCCGCGCCACTTCCTGAAGCGCCCCGCGACCCACGGCCCCGCCCCGCGGCCGGGCTGGGCGGGCGGCGACTGCGGCTGAGGCACAGGTGCCTCACGGCGCAGCCGGGTCGCCTTCCAGCCGGTCCGCCTCGCGACCAGGGCCCGCGCCCCCTCCTGCCTCGCACACCGGCCTCTCTCCCGCCCAGCCAAATGCAGGCCGCCGGCCTCCCTGAGGAGATCCGCTGGCTCCTGGAAGGTAACGCCCTGGCGCAGGCCCCCTTAAGTGCTGAGCCGAAGGCAGAAAGGCGACTCCAGGCCTCCCACGGCCAGGCTTTCTTTTCAGCTTCCTCACTCACCTCCTTCTAGAACCTTAAGGCTTCTAGAGGCCTCAGCTCCCCAGAGCCATCTGTCCATCCTCTCACCTCAGGGCCCCTTTCACTTCCTGGAGTCCCACATCTTCCTTTTCCTTGAGGCACCTCCAGGCCTCCACTTCACCTCCCCGGCTTCTAAAGTCCTCAGGCCAGGTTCTTGGTCTCCCATGCCACCTTGCCTGGTCTTCGACCTGTCCCTTTCTCCGAAGAACTGCTCTACATCTGTAGGGTTTCCCGTCCCCCTCCTTCCCCAGACACGACTTCCTCACCTCTCACAGAAGACCCCAAACTTTCCTGCTTAGAGGTCCGCGAGGCTCTCCAGGGGGCTGCGAGGGGCTCATGGGATCCCCATGGGCCAAGGCCAGGTGGTTGACGTGAGTTTTTGTCAGTACGAAAACCCCAGCCCTCCCTTTATCACCCTGCGGACGTCTGGGGGTCTCACCCACCCCAAGGCAGGCTCATTCTCAGTATGGGATTTCCTCCTTTTCTAGAAGTGCCCCCATTGTGGTGTGTTCACCTTCCGACTACAGTGTCTAAGCGATGGTTTAAAGAGTTCCGGCCATCCCCATCAACACTCAGCACACACTGCCGACACTCCAAAGAGATGTCTCAGAGACGTTGCTAAAGGGCAGTTTCATCTGCTGGGTTTCATGGTGAAAGTCACTTTTACTTGCTTTCCTGTAACTAACCTTCCAGAGAGGACAGAGGCCTGGAATCTGCAGTTGCATAAGGGTTCCAGGAGAAAACTATTCAGAATTAAGCCTTTTGGCATCTAAGTTGACGTATTTGACACATATTTAACAGATGGCCTGCTTTGGGCAGGTCACACTTTTGGCAAGCAGTATTTTTTTTTTTTTTTCAGTTTCTCTCAATTTAATTGGTTTTATATCTCCATTACCTTGTTATCTCGGTATAAATGCCTCCTAATCAAATATTTGGCAAGTCCTTTTGGTCTCTGTTGGTAGCACTGTTTCCATTCTGGATTGCTTCTATGTAAAAGCTGTCAACTAGATATTTCTTTTGAGGTGAGGTTTCCAAAATCCATTTTACTTATGACCAGAATAAATCTAAATTTTGGGAGTGGAAAACTATTTGCAGGGTAAAGGAGCATTATCTAAGTGTCTAAGAAGAAGCAATCCAGCCTTTCCCTCTGTTGTTGGTTTAATATTAGGCTTGTGAAGGAAGGCTGTAATTGTCTTTGGTTTCTAGGAGAGAAGGAACTGTGGCGAAAAGTTTAACTCTGCCCTTGCATTGAAAGATATAAAGTGGTTCTTTTTATTGGTATCTGTCATTTGATGAGAGGAAACCTATTTTATAAGCTTGTTAAACTATACTTCAGTTTTGTGTCTAGCCTTGGTAGAAAATTCCTTTTTATTTTCAGAGGCTTGCAATGAAATCCATTCCTTCAGCATTTTTGATGTGCAGTTCTTTATTGTTCAAAACTGACACTTTGGTAAACAACTCATTTCTGCACCTGCCACCTTCCTTTAGCTTAGATTATTTTCTTGTTAGCTGACTGTTTTTAATTGAAGTCTTCAGATCTCCTTCTAAAGCAGAACCTTTGTTTGCTGACAAGTAGAGCAGGGTATGAATGGAGATTAATTGCATGTCACATACTTCTGTATCAAGCTTGCTGTGTCTTAACAATCTCTGTTGGTGCTCAGGTCTTTAAAATATATGGAGGAGTCTGAAACCAAATTATAAGGAGCTTCGTTGGTTAATGTATTTCTTTAAGGCTTTTTTTTTTTAGTTTGCAATTAGAACTTGAACTGAAGTAGAGAAAAAAATGTAGTGTGATTCATCCAGTGATTCTAATGAAAAATGTTTGAAGAATATGTTTTTGAAAGGTTCCTGTAATAATAATAGCAACATATTGGTTACAAGTTTTATTTCTTATGGAACATAGTCCCTGGTGTAGACCGGGAGCATTATTCATTGTGTTACAAATAATCTGTCGATATTAGAAGCCCACAATGGCCATCAATTTGTTGTTTGTTGCTATTTGTCTCCCCCACCACACACTTTTTAAGGGTAACTGTTGACAATTAGAAAAAATGGAGGTCCTGATCTCTATATAGTCACTCTGTGGGAGGGAGTCACAGGATGTGAGGGCTGCAACTCTAGTGCTGCCACATGGCTGTGGGGGTGGAATTTCCATAATGAATTACTACTTTCATAAACCAAGGCATAAGCATTTGCACAGTGATTTAACACTGGACATCACAGCTATAACTTAAGCATTTATTTGTTTATAACTACACAAGCATAAATGACAGAGGGACATTTTTTGACATAATGTGTGTGCTTTTAAGAATAAAATATGTAAAGCATTGTGAATGGTTGATAACAAAATTTTACATAATGAAGAAGAGAACAGAAATTCTCAAGGCCTAAAATTAATTTTGTTTAAATATAAAATTTGAAACATTTGGAAATGTTTCATTTGACCTAGAAACCTCACTTCTAAAAATCTGTGACTGAAGTTAAAGGACATGTAGTAGTATATGCATGAAGATCTATCCTAAATGTTAATGAGTTGGGAGACTCAGGGTGATGGTTGAATGAATTATGGGACATTTGTCTTATGGAATACTTCACAACCCCTAAAAAGGTATTCTGTGGATCTATATATAGGCTTGGAAAGTGTCCATAGCATATTTTTAAGACTAGAAGGCAAAATGCATGATAGTACATGTAATATCCCATTTTTGCTTGAAAACCGAAAGACAAAACCAGAAAAGCCACATATGCTATAAATGTTTGTGTAAGCCTAGGAAGAAGTGAAAAAGAATATATACCAGACTGGTAACATTGGCTTCCTTGGGAGAAGAGTGAGAGTTTGGACAAGGGGAGGTTATTAATTTTTATTTCATACATCTTTGAGTTGTTTGAATTGTGACAATGACCGTGTATTACTTTTGTAAATAGGAAAAAATAAGTAGTAAGGATATTTAAAAGAAAAAGGAACAAAAGACAAATAGAAACTCAGAGAGGTCAAAGTGCTAACGGACCATTAACTATGCTTATGGTCATGTTTTTCTCTTTTTAGCCCTGAGGGGTATGGAAGGTGGAGAAATTAAAAACAAAAAATGTTATCTTGGATTTTTGGCAAATATCAAAACAGTGTGAGGCTTCTAGAGTAACTCAGGAAATAGCTTCTTTAGATAGACTCTGTCAAGCTCTCATATAGAAATAGTAACTAGTACCCTATCAACAAATAAGTACTTCATAGATAAGTAAAATGAAGGGTGCTTTCTGCTTTATTGAAAGAGGAGGAAATATTCAGGTCTGTTTTCAAATAATAGAGCTTCAGATGTAGAAGTTATCTTTTTGTTTTTGTTTTGTGATAACCACGCTGAAAACAAAAACAATGAAGGGCTGGCAGTTTGCATAATCTTTGCTCCACAGATATAAACATAATCAGTCTCTTCTTCCTGGTCTTTCTAGCCCCGCTTTTGAAGTCAGAAGCAAAAGAGATGAGTATGAAGGAGGTGGAATAGACATTTCTTTGGTTTGTAGTTTGTCCTGTGTGATGGAATGGGGGCTACTGATATTACCCTGGTAGCTGATAGGTCCCCACTGCCTATATGGCACTAAATCCTGCCCAGAATATGAATTTAAGCCAAAATAACATCAACAACCTGGCTGCATGTAGTAGCAATTGCTGCGTTAATGTTGATTCTGATACGCCTATAGTTATTTTAAAACTTCCTTGTAAAGAAGCAGTCATTAATCATTTCCTTCCAGATTGTTCTCCAGACCTGTATTGGTCAATGCAGCCAACCATAAAATCTGTTTCAGTATAGTAAAATTCCAACTATGGGGAACTCGCAGAAATGAGTTGCTCTGGATAGCTGAGGAGATTCTCTTTAAGCACTCTTACCTTTTTATTATAAACATTTGTGATGAAGTTTTTCCTCAAATGCATTAGGAACTTTTCTTCTTTAGCCAACCAGTCTACAGCTATCTTCAAATGAACCTCTTTAGAGCACTCTTTAACTCAAAGTTGTTATAGTGAATATCTATTATCATACTTTATGGAAATGTATTGTTTAGGATATTTGGCCATAGTTGCCCCTGAACTGCTTTGTAGGTGTCTGAGTCTGCTTTATATTTTTATTTTCATTATTTTTTTCCTGCTGTTAGGCCAAGGCCTATCACTTTGCACCCCTGTCTGTATGTCTACATTCCCAGTGCTTCTGGAACATTAGATAACCACGTTAGTTGGAATTGAGATATATGTAAAAGAAGTTACAAAGGGCTTTCTTGATGAACAAAGTACCCACACCTTTAAATGTGGGATTTGTAAGATGTATTTTGGCCGCTCAGAATCTTTTTGCTTAATTTTTGAAACTGGATTGTCTTCCAGATAGCTGAGGCTACGGCTCAGTTGAATTCTGAAAAGCGAGATATGACTATAGTTCTATTCCTTTTTTATATTAAAATTTTCTGATTACAGAAGTAATAATGCTCATTATAGAAAATATAGAAAACACGCGATAGGATACAGTTACTCAGAATCAATAATTGTTAAATTTCCATGTATTTTTCTCAGTGTTTATTATATGGATATACTTTAAAAGTTGGGACATATTTGTGCACAGGTTTGTATACTGATTTTTTGTACTTACAATTTTTCACTTGTTATTGTCTCCTGAGGGTTTTCTTTACTTTTTGAGACGGAGTCACACTCTGTTGCTCAGGCTGAAGTTCAGTGGCGCAATCTCGGTTCACCACAACCTCCAACTCCCGGGTTCGAGTGATTCTCCTGCCTCAGCCTCCCGAGTAGCTGGAACTACAGGTGCGCACCACTGTGACCGGCGAATTTTTATATTTTTAGTAGAGACGGGTTTCACTATGTTGGCCAGGATGGTCTTGATCTCTT